CCAGCTCTGGAGGCTGTGCATGACTTTCAGTACCATGGCAGGGAGGAATTGCTACCAGGGGCACAGGATATCACCTCTACAGTCAGGAAGCACAGACTGGACAGGAAATGGGCTAGACCATAGAGCCCTAAAGGTCAACCCTGAGATGATTCACTTCCTCCATTGAAGCTCTACCTCATCAAGCCTCCATAGTCTGTTTTGCCAAGATGAAGAAGGAAGATGTGAGGGAGTACCCACCCTTCCCACAGCCCAAGCCAGAGCAAAGGCACTGAAAGCCAAGAAATACTGACTGTAGCCCTTCTTAATCTCTCCTTAAACCAAGAGCCAAAATAAAGTTTCTCCTTTACTTTGCCTCTTGTCATCAGCAGGCTCCTGTGGGAAAAAAAATACTATGTTAGAAGAGGGAAAATCTACATCAGAACATGGCAGATCTTAAAATGTGTTCCTTCTGGTTTACCAGGACATGAGAGAGTCTGGACAGCCTCCACAGTGAAACAGGTTGAATCCTTTACCTGCTTCTCAGAGCAATAGGACACTGCTTGTAGGCTCAGCAGCTAAGAAAAGAAATAACGATGCAGAAATGGAATCAACTTACTCTAGCTTCATTTCTGTTGCTATGACAAGATATCCTAGCTAAAAGCAACTTAGGGTAGAAGGGCTTGTTTTTGCTCTCAGGTCCAGGTTGCAGCCCGCTACTAGAGAGAATCAATGGTGGCAGCACAAGGCACCTGGCCACACTGGACCTACAGTCATGAGCATGCAGCCTTGTGCTTAGCTCTGTTTCTCCACATGTAACACAGTTCAGGACCCTCCTGCTGCCCATAGTAGAAGGGATCTTCCTATGGCAATTAAGACAATTGCCCATGGGCAGGCCCACAGGCCAACCCAGTGTAGATATTTCCTCATGAGACTTTCTTCCGGGTAGTGTCAGGTTGTGTCGAGGGGACAATTAAGGGACCAGCTCGCATCTCTCCCACTTCTGCTCTTTCAGATACACGTGAGCTCTCACTGTGTTAGATAAGACAAAGTTGGCAAGATTGGTTTCACATTTTTTTAAAGAGATAACATAGCTGTGCTTCACATGAGAAATGGTGGAGGAGAGTGGAATGAAAGGGAGAGATGACATAATTTGAAAATTGAACATAAGTAAGACTTGGATGAAGAACCTGAGGCTAAGAAGCTTCGGTACTAGATGAGCTCAAGACCATTTCTGAGGGATCTGTTTGTTAATTTTTTTTTTTTTGCAATAAACATTTCATGGCAAGCCTATAGCTTCAGCTTCAGACGGAAAAACAATAGAATTAGTTTTGTTTTTAAGCCCTTCTTCTTGCCCAAATTTGAAATTTTTTCCTTTGTACTTTTCACATTATGAAGTAGAACGGTTTCTGAACAAATACCAATTTGAGCTAAAATGGTATTAGGTTTTGATGATCTACCTATTTTTAGCCTGAGGACTAAGTGATTTTCTGTATTCACATTTTCATCATTTTAATGAAAATGAGGTAATACGCTGAAATGGTATTTTCTTAGAATGTATTAAGGTTTATATATTCTCGATTTTTCAGATGTACTGTGTCATATACTTTTCCTCTAAGTCAGGTGCATTATAAACACACAGATTAACATTTTTACTGCTAACAGCATGCTGCAGGTTTCAAAATTAATTCCATTCTTGATCTTTTAGAGGATCTTTTTCTAATACAAGCAACAGAGCAGCCATAATACCACAGAGCTTGTCTAATGGCAGATGTTTTTTTTTGTTTTGTTTTGTTTTTTTGTTTTTGTTTTGTTGTTGTTATCCTTGAAAGTTTTGTTATTGCAGAATTGATTTAATATGCAAAGGATGTGTATCCACTTACACTTGTTCTCAGGACTGTTTCATTTGTTCATCTCTGAGTTTCAGTTATTGACTTCAACATTGAAGACAGTCATGAAATGATAGTTCAAAAAGCTTGAGTGTCCCTTCCTTAGAAGAGCCAAGATATTCACTACTCAGTTGACAAGAACGGCAGTATATTTGATAACTGCATAAAACACTTCAGTCTGGAAGGCTTGAAGAGATGGCGCTACAATTAAGGTCACTTTCTGCTCCAGGTGCTCCCTCTATCATCCCAGCACTCTGGGAGGCGGAGGCAGGCAGATCTCTTGGAGTTCAAGGCCAGCCTGGTCTACAAAGTGAGTCTAGGACAGCCTAAGGAAGAGAGTTCAAGGCCAGCCTGGTCTACAGAGTGAGTCTAGGACAGCCTAAGGCTACACAAAGAAACCCTGTCTCGAAGAACAAAACAAACAAACAAAAAAGATCAACTCTTGCTATGGCAGAGAACCTGAATTCAGTTCCTAACATGCATGTAAAGCAGCTCACAGAGAATGTGATGCCCTCTTCTGGCTCCTGTGGGTACCTTCACCCATGTGCACATACCCACGTGTACCCACACATACAAACACATGATTAAAAATTAAAACTTAAAAAAGAAACCTTAATTTTTCAGTTTAGTCCATGATACTACATTTTAGTTTATATGCCTTAAATACAACCAGGGATAGCTTTGTCATATTGTTGAAGAGGGGTAATTCGACAGTATTTTGCACAGCATAAGACAACTGTGACAGAACTTACTGAGGAAGTGCCACCGTGTTTCCCTAAATAAAACAGGCACAGGAAAGCATCTGACGTGATAAATATTGTCTCTCACAAATAATGTGACAAGCTTTGGATAAGTTTCCTCTTCCTGCATCAGCAGCAGGCTTCTGTTTGAGAATATCATTTCAGATGGCCGTCACATGCTTCTAGACACACACCAAAATAGCATGCAGAGCTCTTGGCTGCCAATGAGTAATGTAGAATCACATTAAAGACAAAAGCCTTTATCACATAGGACCCGATAGATGTTGAATGTCTTTTCATTAGCCATTCCAATGGCATCCTGACAGGACTCTTAATGTATTTTACACTACTTTACACATCACAATTATGTTGCAAATGTCTTGTCTGGTTCTTGTGTGCCATTAAGCTTATTTCAGGTCATGCCTGCTGAATTCAAGCCGCCTTTCTAGAAAATCAGGTTTAAATGGTAAAGTGTCAAATCTCAAGTGTCCTAGTAAATTTCTTGTACCAGGTCTGATTCTCCGTGCCGGTAAATACAACATCGTTGTTTATCAGAGCACATTAGTGTGCCTTCTGATTACTTACTGACAAGTGAATTGGTTTAGTTGTCTCTTTTCCAGAGTCTTCTCAATAGAAGCTTAGTCTTGGAGAGTGCACTGCAGTACAAGGTACCGTGGTGCGGATGGTGGAGAACTAACACGTATTCTGGCTTCTTTAAGGATTCCTTGCATTTGCCAGGTTTGTTTTTGCAGCTGTGGGACTCGGGGGCCAGCTGGCTTGAGGCGAGCCCTGCACCAATGAACTGTACTCCCAGCGCACTGTGTCCGTTCACCTTAGGTCTAGACAATGGTGAAACACATCTGACTTTACACTCACTGTTTTCTTCTCTGTCTTGGCACACCGCGGTGATGGCACTGTTGCCACCACACTCTGTGCAAGAAATAATCATTAAAAACTCTCCAAATTAGTTTAAATTTTTGTTTTCTCGAGAAAAGAGCATAAGGTTTATTTTGTTTTGAAGATAATAAGTTTAGTTTTCTAGTGTTTAAATTATTTCAGGATGTTTTATTTTGCAATTAAAGATTTTCAGACCTTTAATTAAACTGAATTATATTTGTGAATTACATGTGTATAATTTTTTATATTTGATAAAATAGGCAAGCACCAAAGCAGACACATTGGCATCATCCTTTTCCATCTCAAAAGAAAATTAAGTTACTTCATAGATTTTTTTTAAAAAAATAACATAAATTTTAAAAATATATTTTGAAAGTCAGCTATGGGGGCTGGGGAGACGGTGGCCCAGTGGGCAGGAGCACTCGCTGCACGAGCATGGGGATCTATGTTCGTATCTCCTGTATCCACACAAAAGCTGAACCTGGCCTGTGCACCTGTAACCTAAGCCCTGGGAAGGGAGGGGGGGAAGGAGACAGGACCGCCCCTTATACTTGCTGACCAGGGAGCCTAGCTAAGCAATGATGAGCTCTGAGGGTGACTGACAGACCCTCGTGAGACAGGTGCAGAACAATGGAGAAGGAAGGCACCTCCTCTAGCCTTTGCAACATGAGGGTGTTGGGCAAGCTCATGCACACATCTAGCCACACACATGTACGCACACATATACATCCACATGTACATTTGTACACATATGTATGCCCACAGACACATGTACACACACACACACACATGCATACATAAATGAGCATGCATTCACACACGTGTACACACAGTCATTTTCATACCATTTGGTTCTCAGTCACAAATGTCAAGACAAGTCTGTGTTAAACTGCCTACTTCCTGACTGGATCCTTCCTTTACCGTACCTCCTTTCTTTAAAGAAGACCCATCTGGTCTCAAGCGACAACACAGTATAGCTCCCTTCCTGGCTGTGCATATGGCTTTGAGTTTCTTCTCCAGCATATCAAACAAACAAAGGTAAATTCTACCAAATCTGTTACAAACATCTCTAAGAGCAGCGTGATGAGCAGCAATGAGACTAAAATGTGCCTCGTTTTGAGGCTTTGACTCCTGCTAACAAGCGGTGAAATTACAAATTCCTAAAACATGAATTTCATGTCTGAAATAAATTTCATAATCAGATAAGTGTTGCTAGTTGCGTTTAGACCACTGTCTTCCATCAATGAAGAGGAGTTGACAATTTTACTTTCTGTACATGACTCTTATTGTAAGGAGCACTGTCCCTTATAACAGTTGCAACAGCAGCAACAAGCAAAACTTCCTGTGAAAATATGATCATCAGATTGAAAGCTTAGTTCAGTTTGCTTAACTGGGTGCCAGGCTCCTCTACTGCTGAAACCAGTATTGAGCATGTATGGCGTGCATGTGTGTGTGTAAAAACGGAAATCAAATGATGACATAGCGTAGGTTTCTTGTGTTGACATTTTTATTATAGTAATGTGTCTGAGTAACTGAAGTAATTTCACCATACAGGTGTCACATGCTACAGCATGCCATGGCAATGCCAGCTGCACATTTTGTTGACATTTCAAGCGTATCTTCTGTAACATTTGTATTTGTATACAGGAAGTAGAGCACACAGAGATAATTTGATCTATGCTTCATGTTAGCAAATGTATTCTCTCACCCTCAGATTCAGACTTCTGTGGAAGTCCATTAAAATTCAGATGCTGTCACAGGTACAGTTGTTCTGATATGACTTCAAGGACCAAAAAAATGGCTGTTAGCCTTTGAAACACACAGAATAATTATCTGACCACTTTTCAAAGGCAAGCTTTCTTACTAATTTAGGAGTAGTTAGCCTGTTGAGTGATGTGTTTGCCAAATCAAGAGCTTTCAAGTTCACAGGTAGAAGTTCTACATGGCTCTTCCTAGATGACACACCCCTCTTACTATCACAGTGGGTCACCTGAGTAAATTTCTTCCAATACGCCATATACCACCTCCTGGCAGCGCCCTGAAGGTTGAAAGCAATCTCAACATGTGCCGTTTCAATGCATCAATTTCTGTTGCAAGACAATTGAAGCACATCTTCACACAGACACAGATTCAACCTTGTTCCTAGCATCCTCAGCAAACTAAACTTGACTCAACATTTTATTCAAGTTTCATTGTTGTTGTTCAGGTAAAAACACACCACTATGAGAATTCAAGGAAGACCAACTCTTAAAAGGCGGCATTTCTCTTTTCTTTACTTCATCCATGCACAGCTAAAGTTTCAAAGGGAATTTAAAGAAGGAAAATAGGAGAAAGAAAGCAGTGTGAGGAATTGAGTTTTCTTTATGAAAGATATTTCTAGAGTTTTCATTTCTCTAAAAGCCAATGTTAATCCAAACAACTAAATATCTAATAATCAATATGCAGATGGCATGACCCTTTACACTTGAAGCTCTCAATTTAAAGGGAAAAGAAAATGTCCAAGAATCACCAGGTCACAGGAACACAATTGTACAGTTATATTTTTTATTGTTGATTAATGCTTAGAACCAAGTACATGAGATTCTGAATGTAAATTAGCATTGTGAAATAGAAAAGGAAGGAATTTTCTATCACTCTCGAGGTATTTACTACTTTTTAAAGGATAAATGTTTAAGAATGAATCAATGCTTCATAGAAGATTAAGTTATGACAAGTCTGCAGCTAACTTTTTAGTATTTTTGAATAGTATGTATTGCATATGTTTAACTTTGAAGATAATGTTTACACAAGATGACACTGACATGTTAAAGAAAGCACTGAATTTATACCCAAACATCTGAACTTTCAGATCAGCATAATCCCATACTCTTCTACTTTCCAAGCTAAAGTGATAGTTTGAGTGAAATCATTTTCTTGAGGTCTAGGGAACATTTATTCTCTGTGCATGCATAAATATTAGGTAAGAGGAAGAGGTTTGGTTTTGGTTTGGTTTGAACTTTAGAGATGAGGAGTTGTGGAAACTTAAGATATTTGATCTAATTTAGGGAAACTCTTACATCTCTCAGATAGCAGTATTGCCTAATTCTCTGTTCCATGTACAACTTTATGTTTGAATATGAAAGATAAATAAAAGCTAACAAAATAAAATTCTTGCACAGTAAAAACAAAATACAAATTGAAACAGGGTCTTAAAACAGACTTAACGCCACAAGGCTGACTTATTCAAGTGAAAACTTTTGTGTTTGTAGGTGATGACATAAAACAAACAAGTTTGGGAAACATCTGTATCTTACAGCTTGCGGAAGCATTCCAACCTTGAGATGAACCAAACAACTGGAGCTGCCTGTCTATACTTATCCCCTTCCCTTGTAAGGACACCAAAGTTAATTCTAAGGAAAACTATGGTGAGATTAACTAGTTTCTGGAGTTTTCTTTCTCTTCTATGAAAGAGAGATTTACACTGTCTCTTATGCAGATAGGTTTTAAGCGTACACATAAGAAATTGATAACTAAAACTTAAAAACTTAATACCTCTAACACCTGTCTATGGCCTCCTTAGACTTCCATGGTTCATTGAGATGTCTTCTCACAGCTACTCACTAGGGAACAGTGCTATGAAAGCCACAGTGCATAGCGTACCAGGCAATGCATGTACCCAATGAGCACATGACTTTCTGCACAACGTCATCATATCCAACTAGTCAAAACAGGAAAATGTAGGCAATGAAATTCTAGTGCTCAAAATAAAGCCTTGCTTGAGTAGCTAAGGAAATGATGTTTGTTCATAAATACTTGGCAGTTTTATGTATTTAAATTTACTCTTAGCTTTCAAAGTATGTGTGTTTCTAGGGTGAAAACTCCTAATGTTAGGTACTCTCAATTTTTTTTTTTTTGTTTTAAGCGAAAAATCCTTTCTTCTACAAGATAGAAGTTTCAAAGAATACATTCAACCCAATGATCATTTGTGATTTCAGATAAAGCAAATGACCAACAAATTAAGTTGGTCTCACATACTAATCATTTGCAGTCATATCTCCATGACTTTTATGATTTTTCTTTCATTCCCCCATGATTTTTAAATCATTAATTGAAAACAAAACAAATTGACTACAAATAAGTCATTTAAAAAAGACTGCTTTGATTATTATTCCCATAAAGATTCTGTAAATTTCCAATATCTGCCTCACTTATTCTAAGAAATCTATGCCATTTTGAAAAAATTCACAATATGGACTCCCAAATACCACACTCATTTTCTTCATGTGAAGGTTTTATTCTCCTTCAAAAACACTTTTTTAAAAAAATATGTGGGATGTTTCCAGTAAGAAGTCTGTGCTGTGATATGTGTAGGTAGGCAGCCATAAAGTAGCAGCTACCAGAACTATGTATAAAAGTGATTACAATAAAAATATACTCTGCAAAGATAGTTTTAAAAGCCTAATAATGTTGAGCCACCACCTACCCAGCTTTGGTTGAAACCTGGCCAAATGGCCTTTCTGATGCTTTGGAGCTATTTCTTCATTTACTGGCAATCAGTTTTAGGATATGACAAGGTGGTAAACATTCTCAAGTTTTGTAAGTACTTAGCATTGTAAATAAAAACATCAGAAGAAAGTTTAAGCAAGTATTAAGCTTGAAGAGTTCAACAATCTGTGAGTGTGCTGTCTATCTTGTATGAAAAACTGAGAGCCCACACAGTTTAGAAACTTCAGGCAAGAAAAGGAAGAACTGGAGTGCAGTCTCTGAGACCATGCATGTCGCCTGTGAACAGGAAGACAATAGACCCCTCCAGGGCACATGGACGAACAGTGACATGTGCTCACTGGTACCTTCTCTTCAGAGTCTTTAGGTTATTTTATGAGGTGAAATGAGAAACTAGTAGACTTTGCAAGGCAAACTGGTCTCAACACTGAGACACGTAAACCAATCAACGACATACTTTCCAAAAGAAGCAAGTGCTATGAGACACAAAAGTCACACACCAAAGACTGTCACCGCCATTGTCTTGTTTTTTTCTTTTTTTTATGTAATTCCCTACAACAAAAGTCAAATTAAAGCACATTCATATTTTATTCTTAGGCCATGGGATCATCTCCCACTTTTAGATCACACCAGGATTTTATCAGATTTTAATTGAAATGTGTACTAGAACAAGCAGCTAAATTTCCATATAGGGGAATAAAATGTTGGAGAGTCAGGCTGGGATATTCTCTAGTGCTTTACAGTGTGCTATAGTAATAACAACCTGTTTTATCCTAATCCATAGTCAAGTTGAGCCCTGTAAGTCTTATGTTTCACTGCTAAATGGCTACTATGAGTGAGAGAAATAATAGATACTATCAGTACTTTCTCAAGTCGAAAGCTGTGTTATCTGGAAAATAATTCAAAACAGTGATGGGATCTTCAAGATCAATTCTGCTTTATAGACTCTGCAGCAAAAATAACATTTCTAGTAGGAAGTAATTAATTATAAACCTAGCAAATTCTACACATTTGCGTATTTGTGTAAACAACTTTAACATGGTTTATTACATTTCCAGAAACGTTAAATCTTATATTCCGTTTTCTGCTAATTCTTCTTACATATAATAAATATATATATATATATATTTATATGTTACTTGAGTGCATGTGTGTCGTTCGTACAGTTATATGACATATGTACATAAAACAGCACAAAAGGGTCACTTCCTTAAGCTTCAACTGGAGGAAATAAATGAATTGCTAATTATGCCTAGCATGGCAATCTTCCATTCTGTTTCACAAATGGCCATATCTGGATGTAAACAAAACATTGGAGCGAGTCATTCCTGGTGAATTATATTTCATGTTGTACAGTGGTGATCTCATGAGGAATGGGGTAGTTCCTGGTAGCGCACACCTAAAAAAAGGTAGTTAAAATATTAGCTTGTTGCAAAAAACTTTATTGTCAACATCACTCACGAAACAATTATACAAGTAAATTATTTACCTCTCTTATATGAAAACTAATGCTATCACACAAATACAATTTTTACAAAAATTTTCATCTTAAAATTGAACTTCAAAAAGTTGAACACACAGGTACACAATATATGAAATGAGAATCCCATGACATGCTATCATCATTGTACTCAAACATCACACCACTGTTTTTTGGTTCACATTAACAATTCATTAAACACAGGCTCTAAGATAAAAAATCAATTAATGAGACCTCATGAAACTGAAAAGCTTCTGTAAAGCAAAGTACATTGCCATCAGAAGAAAACAACAGCCTACAGACTGGAAAAGAACCTTCACCAACCCTACATCTGACAGAGGGTTAATATCCAGAATATATAAAGAACTCAAGAAGTTAAACACCAACAAACCAAGTAATCCAATTAAAAATATGATGTATAGAGCTAAACAGAGAATTCCCAACAGAGAAATATTGAATGTCAGAGAAACACTTAAAGAAATGTTCAATGGCCTTAGTGATCAGGGAAATATAAATCAAAACAACCCTTACATCCATCAGAATGGCTAAAATCAAAACCTCAAGTGACAACACATGCTGGAGAGGATAAAGGGGAACACTCCTCCATTGCTGGTGGGAATGTAAACTTGTACAACCACTTTGGAAATCAATCTGGCACTTTCTCAGACAATTAGGAATAGTGCTACCTCAAGATCCAGCTATACCACTCCTAGGCATATATCCAAAATATGGTCACCTATACTACAACGACATTTGCTCAGCTATGTTCATAGCAGCTTTATTCATAATAGCCAGAATTTGGAAACAACCCAGATGTCCCTAAGTTGTGGAATGGATACAGAAATTGTGGTACATCTACACAATGGAATATTACTCAGCAATTAAAAACAAGGAAATAATGAAATTTGCAGGCAAGTGGATGGAACCAGAAAAAAATCATCCTGAGTGAGGTATCCCAGCAGCAGAAAGACACACGTATATACTCACTTAAAAGTGGATATTAAACATATAGGATAAATATATTAAAATCTATAGTCCTAAAGAAGCTAAACAACAAAGAGAACCCTAGAGAAGATGCTTAATCCTCATTCAGAAGGGCAAATGGGATAGACATCTGAAGTAGGAGAAGACAAAGAACAGGACAGGAGCCTTCCACAGAGGGCCTCTGAAAGACTCTATCCAGCAAAGCATCAAAGCAGATGCTGAGATTCATAGCCAAAGTTTGTGCAGAGTGCAGGGAATCTTATAGAAGAAGGGGGAGATAGAAAGAACTGGAGAGGACAGGAGCTCCACAAGGAGAGCAACAAAGCCAAAAACCTGGGCCCAGAGGGGCCTTCAGAGACCAGTACTCCAACCAAGCACCACGCACGGAGAAGACTTAGGCCCCCTGCTTAGATGTAGCCCATAGGCAGCCCAGTTTCCATGTGGGTTCCCTAGTAAGGGGAGCAGGGACTATCTCTGATATGAACTCAGCGGTTGCCTTCTTTCAGCTTCACCTCCCCTTGGGGTGGAGGGGTGCAGCCTTGCCAGGCCATAGAGGAAGATGATGCAGCCAATCCTGATGAGACCTGATGGGCTACAGTCAGATAGAAAAGGAGGAGGCTTCCCCTATCAGTGGATTAGCAGAAAGGCATAGGGGGAGAAGAGGGAGGGAGTATGGGATTGGGATGAGATGAGGGAGGGGGCTACAGCCAGGATATAAAGTGAATAAATTGTAATAAATATTTTAAATAAATATTTAAAAAAATTAATTATCAGTTCTTGAAAGTAACATGTGGAACCAATATCTCTTTAAAACATGATAGAAGCAAACACTTTGGCAGCTCAAGTGTTTAAGCCTTTTACCAATGATTTTCATGGAGAATTTTGTAAGCCACATTAACAGCAGAATTTCTTTCAAGGCTATAGAACCATGGATCCTAGTTGTATAATGTGTCATTGATTTATTGTAACTACATTTAATCCAAAACATTCTTTTTAAGTTATAATTTTGATCTTTTTATTATTATCATTTATTATAATTTATTCGCTTTGTATCCTGGCTGTAGCCCCCTCCCTCCTCTCCTCCCAACCCCACCCTCCTTCTCTCTTCTCCTCCTATGCCCCTCCCATAGTCCACTGATAGGGGAGGTCCTCCTCCCCTTCTATTTGGCCCTAGCCTACCAGGTCTCATCAGGACTGGTTGCATTGTCTTCCTCTGTGGCCTGGCAAAGCTGCACCTATCAGGGGCATCCGTGATACAAGTTGAATAAATTGCAATAAATGATAATAATTTTTAAAAATAAAAAAGTGAGAGATGGCTCAGCCATTAAAGGCAAGGCTCACAACCAAAAAAAAAAAATTAAAAAGAAGAAGAAGCTAAACAAGAAAGACCCTAGGGAAGATGTTCAATCCTCATTTAGAAGGACAAACGTGATAGACACTGGAAGCAGTAGAAGACAGGGAACAGGACAGGAGCCTACCACAGAGGGCCTCTGAAAGACTTTACCCAGCAGAGCATCAAAGCAGATCTGAGACTCATAGCCAAACTTTGGGCAGAATGCAGGGAATCTTATGAAAGAAAGAAGAGATAGAAAGACCTGGAGGGGACAGGAGCTCCAAAAGGAGACCAACAGAGCCATAAAACATTCTTAACTAGAAACTTTGTATTCTTAGACAATTCTTTGTTTATGGTTACAGGTTGTATGTAACCATGCAGCCAAATGCAGTTTTGAATATGTGATTTTTTCCACTTTGTGATTTTAGAAACACAAGATAGTATACACGCTATGTAACATCTCTATCAGGTGCTAACATTCTGTAAACAGAACATTAATTTTTACATAATGAAAGTAAGAGTATTCATAATTACTAATCAAGACTACAAAAGCAAATTTATGCCAATTCATGTCCAATTTGCCAAGAAACTGAACCTTATTTTGGTTGTTTTTAAACAACCAGCTTTGAAAATTGGGAATTACATGAGTTGTACACCTGTATCGTCTTTTCCAGTGAAAACCGTGGTATTATTTTGCCAGTCCACTCTTTAAGTGTAGAGCTGAATAGTCAAGGAAATCCATAAGTATAAATGGAAATTAACCATGGAATCTAAAGGTTAAGTTGCAGTAAGGACTTGAGCAATGTACTGTAAAGTCAGGACAAAGATGTCTATGAGGAATTTCCAACAACAGAGGTGACAATAGAAAACCAGTAATTAGCTGTGGTCTTGGAAAAATAAACCAAAAACAGGAGAGTATCAGCTGTTTTCTCTCCTTCTTTGGACACTGAATCCTCCAGAGACAGCATCATCAATGAACAAATAACAAAGAGAGGTAAGATCTGTCAGCTGTCAATTCTATGCACAACCATGTAAGAATTATGATACACCGATATTAATGGGAAGCTAAATTTACAGTTATTTCCTGTGAATCTTAGAGAAAGAAAAGAATTCATTATAATCAAGTTGCAAACAGCATTCAGATTAAAATAAAATTTTCCATAATATCCATAAACATTATTTCATCATGAATAATAATACCTACTAAATCTGTTACCTAATATCACAAACTATAAATAATTGCTCCAATCATTAAGTTAATAGAGCAGTAAAATAATACACAACAAACTAAATTAAATCAAAATTCCAGAATGGGTGATGAATAATGAAACAACTGATTTCTCACATCACAGATTATATAAATTATTTTCTTAATATCACTAGGGTAATTTATATAGATTAATTATAATGTCAAGAGCTGGTAAAGTCTTAATGATTAATCTAATACCTTTTGCCATAGAAACTTTTCTTTTTATGTAGGACAAGATGCAAAGTAAACTACGGTACTTGATCAAAACCCACTAGCCAACACTGGCAGTTGCTGCTCTAGCCTCAGAAAAATTCATCAGGAATGACACAGTAAACAGAAACTTCTACCAACCTTTACAGTGTGTGTGTGTGTGTGTGTGTGTGTGTGTGTGTGTGTGTGTGTGTG